ACTGAAATCATATTTGCCAAAGGACCAATACATGCTGTGATCACGGGTACTTCTGTTGCAATAAAGAACCAAAATATGAATTGGAAACTACCAGGTTCAACTTTTATATCACCAACTTTGGATTTTTCAAATGCTAAAGTTCCCTGAGGGATCCTCGAATCTATCTTTGTGAGTCTTCTATTCACACCAATTTGTACTGGAGCTCTCTGATGTTTTTGACGGTTGTGAAGATGTTGTTGTTTCTCTTCATCTTCGGGAACTTGTGGATTGTAATCCGTTGTACTGAGGTCCTTTGAGGGGTCTGTATCTTCACTGTCGACCATTCTTCAGATATTTCATTCTTTTTTCTATATGCTATTGAGAGTATGATCTATTTGGCCATTGATATTGTTTGTCGTTGTTCTGTTCACGTTTCCAATGTTTTGTTTTTTACCGGGTATAATTTTTTTTCTGATTCAAGCTCATCGCCTTAAATTTTGAACAACATGAGCCAATAAAAAGCAAAGAAGCATCGGAATTGACTTGAAAAAAAAGGATTTTGCAAATTATAATCATAATATTCAAAAATATAACCTCAAAAGCTCCAAAAAAAGGGGATTTCCCGGCAAAAAATAAAGTTCTCTGGACGAGACCGGAGTCGAACCGATGACCTTTTGCTTGCAAGGCAAACGCGCTACCAACTGCGCTACACGCCCGGGTTACAAAATTTTTAGATAAGCAGTTTGCTTAGTCATTTTCAGATCACGTGATATATTGGTTAAGGACGCATTTTTGAAAACACAAGTACAATAGAAAGTGTCATGATGTTATCAAATACTTCATTATTTAAACAACATTATACAGTACCCAGCTCAGAATATGAGTGAAATCAATACAGATGATAAAGTGATAAGAGTGTTTGTCGTGAGACATGGTCAAACAAACCACAACGTTGCCAAAATTTTACAAGGACATTTGTAAGTTTCCATTATTGAGATCTCCTTGAAACACATGGTTAACATTATTAGAGATACTGAATTGAATGAACAAGGTTTAGCTCAGGCTGAATTAGCTGGTGAGAAATTCAAAGATTATCCAATTGATGCTATTTATTCAAGTGATTTGAAAAGATGTAAGGGTACTGCATCCACCATTCAAAAACATTTATCCTCACCTGTTGATGTAACATTTAGTTCAAATTTAAGGGAGCGTAATATGGGTGTTATCGAGGGAATGAAAATGCAAGATGCGATAGAGTATGCTAAAAAAGATGGGAAGTCTTCTTATAAAGAGTATGGTGAAAGTTCACATGCATTAGTTTCAAGAATTCAAAAACAAGTCAATAAGATTTTGGAAGAGAATAAACATCATAAAAACATTTTATTATGTTCACATGGTGGTACTATTAGAACATTGTTGAAAATATTGAAGTATAATGAAGATATTATCGTTTATAATACTTCAGTAACTATCATAGATTTCAATAAAGAGGATTTCAATGATTTCAAGATTATAAAGATTGGTGATACAAAGCATTTAGGTGAAGGGGAGTTCAAAGTTTCTGATACAAGAGTTAGATAGAAAACCGATATAGAATTATATTATTATAACTGATTTCAATGAGTTGCATCGTAAACAACACCAGCTAATGATATGGCTCTTTCTTCTTCATATCTAGGAGTAACAACTTGGACACAAACAGGCATACCATCGAATAAATCAGCATCATAAACACCTTGAGCCAATGAATCGTTTTCACTGATTGGGGTGAAGTTATCATATGGTTTATCAATTGATTTATCAACAGATGTGATTGGAACAACCATTGAACTTAAATCCATATAATTGACAGGATAAGTATATGAACAATGATAAGATTTCGTTTCACCAGCTGGATATGAAGTTGATTCCCACAATGGTGAAATCCAAGCATCAATTGGACGACCTGTACTTGTTTTAGAAGCGGTATCTAACCAATATTTATCATAAATCAATTGTGATTCATATTTTTTTTGAGCTTGTGCCCAATGTTCAGATACTGACAATTCTCTACCGGCTGCTCTTCTTTCCATTAATTGTTTAATGATAGGTTCGCCACTTTCGTCACAAGCTTCTTTAATTTCTTTATAACCATCAGCTGTAAAGATTTGGTTTAAGTTCTTGACCATTTCAGAATTTGGTATTGGATGTTCCCATTCAACAACTTCATGACCTAATGACTCCAATTTAGATTTGATCAATTCCATAGCCCTAGCCACTGGTGGATGTGGAGTAATCATACCGTTATTCTTGATAATACCAAAAGTTAATTTCTCAGGAACTTCATATTCTCTCCATGGGATTGGTGGTGTCTTTGGATCATATAACCAAGGTTTAGCATCAATGATTGTCTTGACGAAAAATTTCAAATCGTCAAGATATCTCGCAGAAGGACCAATAACTGAAGGAACGATAGGTTGGAACGCCATTGAATTTGTCACTTTGGCATATGGTAATCTACCAGAACATGGTCTTAGCGCAAATAAACCTTGGAAAGCAGCTGGGATACGAATACTACCACCAATATCAGTAGATAACCCAATCAACCCACCTTTAGCACCGATCAAAGAGCTTTCACCGCCACTTGAACCACCAGCTGATAATAATCTGTTTAATGCATTAACGGTTTGTCCATAAATGTTTGAGTTTGTATCAGGAGCCATCATTGCCATTGGTGTAGTTGTCTTGACATAAAACACAGCACCAGCGTCATAAAGAATCTTTGCAATTATTGATTCATCATCTTTTGTTTTCGGTTTATTTAATTTTGAAATGAGTCCAATACCAGAATCTAAACCTTCTAAATTAACTTGATCTTTCAAACTGATTGGGATTCCATGCAATGGTCCAATTGTCTTTCCAGTAGTTTTGAAAATTTCATCCAATTCTTTAGCTCTTTGGAAAGCTCTTTCAAAGAAAATTTCAGAACAAGAATTGATTATTTGATGAGTTAAAGCAGCACGATGACAAAAAGCTGTGGTTATCTCTAATGAAGTTAATTCACCTTTTTGAATCTTTTCACTCAATTGCAATAAGGATTGATCAGTTATCGCAACTTCCTCTTTTGGTAAGATTGTGTCCAAGTAGTCTCTTGTGTTTGAAACTTTTTCAATTGATGGAACTTCAATAATCCATTCTTTAGGGATTTTGGCGAAGACAGCTTCTCTTTTCTTTTGGGCAATTTCTTGCCATGATTCAGTTTGAACAGTCATTATTCCAATTGAATATGGCGTATAAGGCTGATTAATGTAGAGTCCATGTGTCAATTCGTGTTGTATTTATACGCTTTCAGGGGTGTTCATATTGTTGATCTTCTTATCATGTTCTCGGTTTCTCGATAAGGACATCGCTAACACGTCCACTTTAACGACATTGGGAAGGTGAATCGAAATCAAAATCACTAATATGTAATGTTCAGTAAAGTTATATCTTTCTACGCTTCAATGATATGGTTCAAAAAAGATTGTAAGATCATGAGGTACTATAAGCCATGAACTAGTGTTAATTCATGAGACTGTATAAACCTGAGATCCCTAACGTTTATTAAGATTGAAGGGACTTAACTTGGACAGAAAAGCAACAACAACATCCAAAAATATCATCTATAAAACATGACATACAAACGAGAGACAGACACCAAACACAGCTCTAGTGTGATGTTCCAAAGTTACTATAAGACGACACAGCCAGGGAAAATTGTTCACATGATCCAGGTCAACTATTACAATGCAAACTCTGACGGCATCACCATGTTGGGAGAAATAACCATAACATTAATGTTTGCTTGTGATTAAATTTAAAAAAGATTGAAAAGTTTTGGAAAAGATTTCAGAAAAAATGGTGATGTGCCGCTAACCGTAAAATTTCGACTGAATTAAAGACAAATTACTAGAAATTGAATGGTATTTACTGGGATATATTCACTAAAGAACAAAACATTAGATATCAATTGGTTGACCACCTTCAAGATGCTAGAGTAACACCTCATTTCAAATTAACCCTAGAGACCTATTTTCATTTTTGAAATCAGCAGATCTCAATAAGATCATATCGAATCAAATAGAGCGAAGTATCGCTTGATGGTGTTGTCATTAAACTCACTGAAAAGAATTGAGTCCTCTTCAAATACAACGGAAATGTTATATAAAACAAACTTATCACTCATATTGATGAAACAGAAGCCGGTTAAGCTGATCTAGTCGTTGGTATTGGAGGTGAACCTTTAATATTGGAAAGATTTTACTTCAATAGAAGATTTCCCCTGATTATGGTGAGATGAAGTTATCAAGCGTTCTATGGTTAATTAAAAATCCATTAAAATGATCTGGAACACTAGAGTTCAAAGAAGATCGGGATTAAAACGAACCCAAGGAAGCTGCTGTTTAAACAATGATATTCTTTCGCAATATCACAAATTATCAAATACAATTCAAAGAATTATTATCATGGGTCGTAAAAGATAACAATAAATAAGGAACCATATATTTGAAACAGGTGTTACAGTTTATTGATTTCTTTTTTACTCATCTATGATTCTTAGGATTAGGATCCAATTCTTTCAGAGTAGTGAGTTTTAAAATGAGTACGTAGAATTATAATAAACGCTAGCATTGTACAAAAACGAGAAGACATCACCTCATCATATTCTCGGTTTCTCGATATCAAAGGCTTTGCTTATCACATTCACTCTAGCTTAATACTCAAAAAGAGCATATCTTTCTACTCATTAACAATTTGGTTCAAAAAAAATGGTAGGATCATAGGTTATTATAAGCCATGAAGTGTTAGTTCATGAGACTCTATAAACCTGAGACCCCTGATGTTTATTAAGATTGAAGATACTTAGACAAAGAATCAACCAAAAATAAAATTCATTTAAAATCACAAGGAGTGAACATTATCCATGTGTGGAATAATAACCCTTTTTGATGATACCGACACCACACTCATTTGAAAACAATTTAACATGAGGAACTAACGTCAATCCGAGCTCAAATTGCTCTGCTGAAAGATTTCACGGATCCGATAAGTACAAACATTTTCCCCAATAAAGTGCTGAACGACAAACGACAATGGTCCCAGTAAAGGTCTACATAGACTCTCCATAATTTCTCTGATACTTCAGGAAAATGTATAAAACTTTTTAGGGCAGCTTTTAAATCGTTTAAACTATTCGCCATTCGCGAAACAATAATCGCGAAAACATCAACATCAGATTTATTTCACCATCACCAACATTCAAACAATCCAAAGTCAAAGCCCACCACTGAAAAGTATATACTACAATATCAAACATGTTCACAGGTATCGTGGAGCACATAGGAACAGTCCAGGAGTTTTTGCAGCTCGACACATCGGAATCTGGAGGAAACGGTGTCTCTTTAACCATTAGTAATGCCACACCTATCCTTGGTGATTGCCATATTGGTGACTCAATAGCTATCAATGGTACTTGTTTAACAGTGACTGAGTTCAATAAGGACACTTTCAAAGTTGGTTTAGCACCAGAGACGTTGAGAAGAACCAATTTGGGAGATTTGACCGTGGGGGATAAAGTCAATCTAGAAAGAGCTGTTGGTGGTGATGTTAGATTTGGTGGTCATTATGTTCAAGGTCATGTTGATACTACTGCTAAAATAGCTAAAGTGGAAAAAGATGGTAATGCATTGAATTATACTTTCCAAATATCAGATCTGGCTTATATTAATTATATTGTGGAAAAGGGGTTCATTGCAATTGATGGTACTTCGTTAACTATAACACATGTTAATCATTCTTTGGGGACTTTTGGTATTTCAATGATTGAACATACACAGAAAAATGTGGTGATGACTTTGAAGAAAATAGGGGATTTGGTTAATATTGAAGTTGATTTAACTGGGAAATTGATTGAAAAACAAGTTGAATTACAATTGAATTCTCAAATACAGAATGAGAAATCTCCTTTAGTATCTTTGATTCATAGTATTATTGAGAAGAAATTGGATAGTTTGAAATAGGTGAGAGAAGGATAAACCTACATATGAATTATGATACCTTTGTAGCCATTTAACCATAATTTACCCTATACATAATCTTCATTATACTTCATGACGTAGCAATTTCATGCTTCTATTGACTTCATAAAATCTTTATACTCTTCATAAGTAAGTTTAGACTTGACTCCTTCATAACGAGTCACTTGAATATCTTCAATATTGATTTTACTCCATCTATAACCAGCCTTAGCAACCAGATGTTGTATTGTTTGCTTCTTATCCCATCCTTGTTCTGGAGCAACATCTGGTAAGAAAGTAGCGCCATATTCTTCACCATTCTTGGAGAATTTGATTCTAATACCATGTTTACCCAATTCCCAATCTAATGGATCATCAACTTCTTCAAAATTTTGTAACAATGTGACACTAACAAGTTAGTATTAATTCAACCACAGCACAATACAAGAACACTCACCCGACAGACAATCTTGGTAACTCAGCTTCAGTAATTGGAGCAAATCTCGAATCATCAAAAGCGCTTTGTAAAATTAGTCAGTATCACACTCCTTATCGATTAATCAGATGTGTACTCACGCAAGTAGGGCATAATCAGCAACACCTCGCTCCAATTGCAGACAGTTAAAATTCCCAATACACCCTCTCAATTGTGTAGTGCCATGTCTATCCAATATGTTCCAAGTGACAAATATTGGTGAACGTTCCAATACGTTTGGTTCCAATCCTAATTTCTTCTTGAAATCAGATAGTTTTAGAGTTCTCTCAACATTGTGTAGTCTGGATTCTAATGCATAGAATGCGAATAATGTGTATGGTGTGAGGGTTGACATGTTTGATCAATTGCACAATTATATCCAATTTAATTGCAGTAAAAAGTTCAATTTGCCTTCAGAATTATGGTTATTGTTTTAAAAATGGAATTTATGGTCTGGATATTATATAAGTGGTTATGTCATCATATAGGTTTAACCATAAGGATTCAATAAACGGTAGTTTAACCATAGAACCCCCTTCAAATGGAAAATGAATTATACAATTGGTAAGTAGTATATTTGGCTTACAAAAACTTTAGAGTAGGTAGTTCTTAAGCAAGTGATATGCTGAATCGAAGTGAGTTATCTAAGTAGTTCAAGTCTATTATGGGATCCTGCAAGATCAAGATTAAAGGCCAGATCACGTACGAAGCACCAATTGGTAGCGCCTTCAAATAGATTACTTAGCTCTAAATCAAACCGAGATCCAAACAATAGAGATGAATAGCTTTAACACTTACACAATCTATCTGTATGGTTATAACTCCTTACAATGAAATAGTTATTTACACCAGGGCTTCAAACACCATCGGCCGAAACTTTTCAATATTTTTTTTTCACATTGTTTTCGAAATGCCGATGAGCTTAAAGCTCAAAAAAGCTTGACTCAACAATTGAAACTCTTGAAAACTCTCTTGATTGAGACTGATATGTCTGTGATATCTCCAACTATCAAGTATGATCCTTCAAAGAACGATATAATCACTTTTGCAGGTGGTTGTTTTTGGGGTACTGAACGTTTGTTCAAACGGTTTTATGGCCATGGTGTTGATGGGTTAAAAGTTGGTTATGGTATTGGTCAAGTTGACGATAAAGAATCATTGAGCTATGAACAAGTTTGTTCTGGAGAAGCTGATTATGCTGAAGTCTTACAAGTGTCATATCATAAGGGAGATCAAGCCATATTGAAATCATTGTGTGAATTTTTTTTCAAAGTTCATGATCCAACAAGTTTGAATTCTCAAGGTGATGATCATGGAAGACAATATAGATCTGCTATTTTTTATCATGATGAATCTCAAATCCAAGTTATAAATAATGTTATTGAAGAGTTTCAACCAAAATGGGATAATAAAATAGTCACTGTGGTGGAGAAAATAATGAAATATTTTGATGCTGAGGATTATCATCAAGATTATTCAGAAAGTGATTTGGCTAATGAAAAGAATTGGATTCCTTGTGAAACTCATTTTGTTAGGGAAATTTAAGAAAGTGATAAATGTTTGTATTATAGAGAGTTATAAACAATCTTTATCTGTAGATCACATATACAAAACAGTTGGAGGAAGCCAAGGCAAATAAAACCTTTATACATCATTTTGAAAGCGAGAATAATCGAAGCCTAGTAGTCCTTGGGTTCTGAGCCTCATCCTTTGAGACTTTGTCTTTTGTCCAACTGAAGTTTTCCTATTTGGTCTGTGAGATCCAGTGTCCACTGTCCAGTTATTGTTGAAGTTTGAAGCAGATATACAATTGGTTCGCGTCGTTCGTATTATGGTCCACCATCTTAACCCCAATTGCATAAGCATAGGAGATCGTAAGATATAGTTCTTGGGTAAACAATAACCGTTGGATCAAGCTTGAACTCTTTGTGGATCAGAACTTGGCAATGTGAAGACGATATAATAATTCAACACTAGTACATAAGAATTATGGAGAAGCAATAGACCAACACAATCTTTAGCTCAGTTTCCATTCCAATGTTTTTGTTGTAATACACCTCAAGGCTCATACTGTCAAGCCCCATTCATTCTCTGATTTCGACCCTTCGACGTACATTTGATTCCCATTGGATGCAACATTCCTCCATTGTGTATCCCACAATGCACTTTAACTCTTGGAGCACAGTACATAATACAAACCAGCGGAGCAGAAAAGAGCGTGTATGTTCCCCATTCATCAACCAAACATTCCAGTCTCCAAGATACGAGCTGTCCATACACCGTAAAGAAGCCATCAAAGAACACGCTGATCGTGTCGTCAAAGCCTCTTGATCCAAGTGATTCACGAATACGGTGTACATACAAACGCGTTGGATTCGTGGATGACTTTGAATTAGCTAAGTCACAAAAATCCACACCAATCCCTTGTAGCCAACACCAACACTCAGCACTGAAGACTCCACCAATTATGATTTCAACAGTACCAGCCTCATTCACTCCAAAATCAACTCAAAAGACCACATTTTCCTCACAAAAAGGGTCCTTCTACGAAAAGGCTTCGCTGTCGCGAATGATTTTTTTTTCGCCCTGTCGCAGGAACACGGAGATTGAATCGATGAAGAAACTCAAGAGAAATAGAAAAAGCTTGTGTTTAACAAAGAAAACAGCCATTCGAAAAACCATCTACACCTAAGCCACTATGAAGCTATCCACCATAGCTGCTCTATCGCTTGTCCCATTCATACCCTCTGTCCAGGCTCAGGGGTTCTACAAAAACACAGATGTCTTTGAATTAGACACAACAAACTTCGACAAGGTTGTCTTGGATTCAAATCATACAACAATTGTTGAATTTTATGCCCCATGGTGTGGTCATTGTAGAAGTTTGAAAAAAGACTATACCAAAGCTGCAAAGCATTTAAAAGATATCGTTCAAGTTGCTGCGGTGAATTGTGATTATGCAAAGAATAAACATATTTGTTCCAAATATAAAATTGAAGGTTATCCAACAATCTTGGGATTTAGACCTCCAAAGATCAATTTAGAGAAATCGGATCCAATCAAATATGGGCATGCTACTGAAAAATACGTTGGTGCAAGAAATACTAAAGGGATTGTGGACTTTGCCATTGGTAGAATAAAAAATTATGTTAAAAGAATTGCAACTGAAGAAAGATTGAATGAATGGTTACATGATTCTAAATCAGCACGTCCAAAAGTTGTTGTCTTTACAAGAAAGGATAAATTATCACCGTTATTGAAATCTATTGCTATTGATTTCTTGGGAATTGTGGATTTTGCATATTTCCCATTAAGAGAAAGAGAAAAAAATGTTTATGAAAAATATCAATTGGAAGAGAAAAGCTCTAAAGCTGTTGTTTACTTTTTTGATAACGATGATGAACCTGTTAGACATGAAGGTTCTTTAACTAAAGAGGATATTTCTCAATTCTTGACCAAGTTTGATTCAACAAAAGAAGCTACTGGTAAAGTTATTAAAAAGCAAGAGTATCTTGGGAAAGTTCAAAAAGGTGAGAAAATCAAGAAATCTGGGAAGTCATCATCACCAAATGATCATGATGAGTTATAATGAAAGGAAATAAAGTTAAACGCTTGGTTCGTTGGATGACATTTAGTTCTCACTAGTTCAATAGTTTTAATAAAAGATTTATTATAAGACTTTAGATTCATTTTGGAGCTGTCAGAACATTTAATTATAACATCTGTAAGACCATCAACCCAATACTAATACTCTCTCAACATAATCTCTTCAACTATGCCAAATATAATTGATCCAAAGTTATGTGTCAAAATTGGCTTCGCGAACTCGTTTTGCATTTTGCGGGTAAAATCAACGACCTTTTCGCGAATTTCTCGAATGGTTTTTTTTTCAGGACCAACGAAATCGAATTTTGGAGCATTAACAATTAGACGTAACTAGTTTCAACTTTTAATACTTTGGTGGTGCTCTCAAACAATGATTACAAAATACTTCACCAAAGTCGTTGTCAAATTCAATCCCCTAGACAAAGGTGGTAAAAACGGGAGATTATTCCTTTCACAGATCCCACCAGCTTTAAAAGGTGCATGTTCTATAGATCATGAATTATTGAATGCTACTTCTAAAAATGCACCAATAATTAAAGTCACCTTCAGTATGTTTTTGATTTTGTATACTTGTGAAGTTCATTTTACTAACTAGTTTTTTCTGCAGAGGATAAGAAATCATTAGAAACAGATCCAACAAAAGGTAGTATCAATGAAATTGCATCTTTTTTCGATCGTCATTCAAGACAATTACAATTCAAAGAGTCTATTGAGAAATAGTGTGTGTTTAATAAGTGTTTGTTTTTCATATGGCATAATGGGATTATGGTTTTGTATATTAGGAGAAATAGAAAAGACATGTATATATTGAGGATTCAAATTTGTTGTAGAGCAGCTCAAAACCAAACAATTGAACATATCTTTTTAGCTGATCAAGGTCCAAACTTAAAACATCCCAATCTTTTCATACATAATCTCAATCTTTGAATTCTTAAAAGCTTTAATTCAAAATTCTATTGTAAAAGTAGTGCTCAAATCATTTCTTCCCTTTCGCGAAAATGAGAGATGAGCTTCTAAAAAAATTAAATTGATTGAAATCTTTTTACAACATAAACATTCAAGTACGAGTATAAACCACGTAATGGACAGACACTTGAGACCTCATTTTGAGGAAGATGACTACGATGAAGAGGTACTTAACCAAATGCTACGGAATGCAGAATCAGAAGAAGATTCAGACGATGAAGGATATGGGGCACTATCATTTGGTGCTTTAAAGAATGCTCAAGACAAGATGGATAAAGAGGAACGCAACACTACAAAACAGCCTAAACAACCTATAAAGAAATCCAGAGAACAAAAGAAGCCGATTGCGGTGAAGGAAACGAGGTATGATGATAGTGAGAGTGAAAGTGGGAGTGATTCTGAAGGTTTATTTGAAGAAGAAGATAATAATAATAATGGACGTTATTCAACACAACATGCTGATGATAAAAAGAAAAAAAGTAAACATGCTCCAACGGAAGCCTCTTCGAAAAAACCAGTTTCTAAGATAAGACAAATCCCTGGGTTAGATAATCCAAAATATAAAACTTTGTACAAGGATATTAGATTTGATACAGCATTAGGTAAAGCAGATTTATCAAAAGTTCGTAAAGATTATAAATTCTTGGATGATTATAGACAGAGTGAGATTGATCAAATAAATAAAATGTTGAAAGATCCAAAAGTTAAAAACAAATTAAGTGATAGAGAAGTAAGAGATATGGAATATCAAGCTAAAAGTTTAAAATCAAGATTAGATTCTTTAAAGAATAAAGATCTTCAAAAAGAAGTTTTACAAAAATATAAAGAACAAAATAAAGGTACTAATGGTGGTAAATTTTATTTGAAGAAAAGTGAACAAAGAAAGATTATTCAAAAACATAAATTTGATACTATGAAGGCTTCACAAAGAGAAAAAGTTATGGAAAGAAAGAGAAAAAGAAGATTGGGTAAAGAATTCAAACAGTTGGAATTTAATAAACCAAGAAATTAGGACCTACTTTCCAATTCATGTATGTTGTGTTTTTAAATTAATGAAACTTATAAAAAAAAGCTGTAGAAATATGTACAAGGTGTGAATTAGGTGAATAAATCATTCTATTTCTTTTCAGAAATGGTATCTTTATGTTCTAAATCAATGTTTTCATGTGCCTTCCAATCATTTAAACTTCCAACATAGTTCCCCAAATGATTATAACCAAAAATTTGAGCCAATTCAGCAGCAGCAGTTGATCTAACACCTGCAACACAATAGAAAATTAATTCTTTATCTTTATCAGGTTTTTCAAATTTGAAAACATCTTCAAATTCTTCTGGTGATAAATCTAAAGCACCAGGTGTTGATTTATATGGTATGTTTATTGAATTTGGAATTGCATATTCTTGAACTTCAGAAGGTTCTCTAACATCAACTAAAAGTTTATTTGGATCCGGATTTGTAACCAAGTTTTTGATCTCTTCATAAGTATAGATCTTGGCTGGAGTCTCTTGACCTAGTTGTTTTCTAACTTCTTCTGGGACTTGAGCAGCTTTTTCAGCAGATGATGATTGGAATCTTTGAGCTTGTAGGAATATTGGTGATTTAGTAATTGCTGATGGTTTTGAATATAAACTAGATGATGTGAATATGGATCTTGCTGGGATAGCAGCAATTCTTGGTAGCACCACCACTTGTTTCCAGACAGCTTTCTTGGTAGCTGCTAGCATGATAGAGGACATTCTGGACGGTCGAATTGGATGGTTGTTGTTTCTGGTCTGTCTTCTCAGGAGATAATAAAGCTGCTCTTTTAAAACTGCAAAAAAAAACAAAAACGGCAAAAAGAGTGGAAATGTCCCGATTAGGCAATAGTCTACTTTTGGCTATGAATTATGTAATACAGACTTTTTTCACTTTACACTTCCCAATTAGGAAGTCAAGAAATGGCCCAATAAGATCAATAACAAAATTTCTTTCAAAATACTCGAGTTTAAATCGAATAAACTACGACTTGCTTCATAGTTCAATCTACAATTCAATCAAATAACTTATTTCCAACAATGTTTCCAACTGCTATCAGAGCTTTCTCAAGATCCCATGTTGCTATGAACGCTTCAGCTCCAACTGGTAAAAAAGCTGCTGTCCAATGGGTTGTCTACTTTATTGGTATCACTGCTGGTTTAACTGCCGGTGCTGCTGTCTTGTACAAATACAATGAAAACAACAGCATCAAACTTTTGTTGAACAAAAAAAGATTGAATGATGAAGCTCACAAGAACAAACAAGTTGTTGAAGCTGCTAAACCAGAACCAACTGATGCTTAAATCTTTTGATTAGTATTTATTTAACAATCTCACAAACTATCATAAGCATACATTTTTGTTTTTATCATTATAAGAAGAGGATGTGTGAATCATTAGGCTCAACTATCATTCTTGTTATAGTTAATCAATCAATCAATTTAAAAAAAAATCAATATTCACTTCTATGGGTTATTCTTTTATTCAATCTTATTAGTTGAGCATTGGATTTGGCTCTTTCATATCATGGGTAATAATATATTTATATCATCTTGGAGATATTCATCTCGTAGACTGATCTTTTTTTGTGTCAAATATGTTGATCTTTATACTTTTTGCAGATGGTGGTGCCATAAATATCGAATCACTCCATTCTCGAGACCAGTGGGACAATTGTATGAAACCACCCCTCCATCCCAACACCCTCGCGATTTCTTCAACTTGTAACGGAAAAAATGGGCTTATGAAGTTGAAAGGAAATTTTTGCTCGAACTACAGTCAGTTTATATACGTTTCACCGTTCAAAGCCCGTGTTTTTGTACTGGTCTCTGATGATCGTTGATGGTTATAACTTATGATCTGAAAGATTCACAATTCGCGAAATACCAGATCAAAAAAACGCGAAACTTCAACAGAAGACAAGTTGAAAGTGAATTTATGAATCAGCAACCAAAAGACACCAGTCATGCCCCAAGTAGGTCCAATTGAGCCAGGTCCAGATACCATAAGGATCCTCATAACGACAGACAACCATGTCGGTTATAACGAGAACGACCCGGTCCGTGGTGATGATGCGTGGAAAACTTTTGAAGAAATAATGTACATTGCAAGAGATAATGATGTTGATATGGTTTTACAATCTGGTGATCTTTTCCATATAAATAAACCTACAAAGAAATCACTATACCATGTTATGAAAATCCTTAGAAGAACTTGTTTTGGTGATAGACCTTGTGAATTGGAATTGTTGAGTGATCCTTCATTAGTATTTGATGATGGGTTTAATAGTGTGAATTATGAAGATCCAAATCTAAACATATCCATACCAGTGTTCAGTATAAGTGGTAATCATGATGATGCTTCTGGTCAAGGTTTACTTTCTCCATTGGATCTATTGAATGTTAGCGGGTTGATTAATCATTTTGGTAGAGTTACTCAAAGTGATGATATTAACATAACGCCTTTACTATTACAGAAAGGTTTAACAAAACTTTCGTTATTTGGATTAGCTAGTGTTCGTGATGAAAGATTATTCAAAACTTTTAGAGATGGGAAAGTTAAATTCAGTTTACCATCTATACAAACAGATGAATGGTTCAACCTAATGTGTGTTCATCAAAATCATACAGCTCATACAAACACAGCATATCTACCAGAGCATTTCCTTCCAAGCTTTTTGGACTTGGTGATATGGGGGCATGAACATGAATGTATACCATATACGGTCCCTAATGCAGCTACTGGGTTTGAAACTTTACAACCTGGTTCATCAGTGGCAACTTCATTATGTGAAGGTGAAGCGGTTGAGAAAAAAGTCTTCATCCTTAATGTTAATCAAAAAAATTACAACTTGGAACCAATCAAGTTGAAAACTGTACGACCTTTCCATATGCTGGAAATTTCATTATCAACAGTACCAGCTATAAGACCAGGACTTGCTTATAAAAATGAAGTTACTCAGTTCCTTATTGAAAAAGTGGAAAATTTGATCAAAGAAGCAAATGACGATTATAAATTGGAGAATCCAGATGATGAATCACCACCATTACCTCTAATCAGATTAAGAGTTGATTATTCAGGGGGTTATGAAGTGGAGAATCCAAGAAGATTTAGTAATAGATTTGTGGGGAAAGTTGCTAATGTTAATTCAGTTGTGCAATTCCATAAAAAGGATAAAAATCTTAATGGTTTGAATTCAAAAATTGGTAAAATATCACTTTCAAGAGAAAATGGTGATGATGGTGAAGGTGCTGAAGGTATTCACGTTGAAACTTTAATTAATAATTTCTTGAAAGAAGCTGAATTATCTTTATTACCTGAACAAGGTCTTAATGATGCTATTAGGCAATTTGTGGACAAAGAGGATAAATCCGCATTGAAAGAGTTCGTTGATACCGAAATGGCTAGTGAAGTTAAACAATTTATGCAAAGTAATGATTTAAATTTTGATGATGATTTCAAAACAATTTTGAAAAAAATTAAAAAAGAACGTGGAATTACAACAGGGAGTTCAAGAGAAGGAACTGCAAAACCTGATACAGGGAAAACCTCAACAAGGGGTAAGGCAAAATCTCAAAAAAAGGCAAAATCTGATGATTTTGTTGTGGATTCCGATGAAGATTTGGATTTAGATAATGATAACGATCACAATGAAGTTCCATTATCGCCAGAACCATCTGCTCCATCAAGAAAATCCACAAGGGCCACTGCTTCAAAAAAACCATACCAGGTTGTTAATTCGGACAATGATGACGATGATGATGACGAATTTAATGACGACGATGTGCAAGTTGTGAATTCAGAAAGTGATAATGATGATGTTCAAGTTATCAAGACACCATCACCTCCAAGAAAAGCCACACGGGGCCGTGGTCGTGGTCGTGGTCGCGGTGGTGCAAAAGCTGCTAGTGGAACAAGCAGAGCAGCTAACAAGGAGAGCTCCAGTAGAGGGAGAGGTAATGCAGAAACACCAGTGACTGATATAATATCTGGTTTGTTGTCTAGAAAGAGAAAGTAGCATAAAGAAAAAGTTTCAAATGTTTAATACTGTAGTTGGAAGTCTGTCATATCCCACGGTTCAGTAAAACGTTCATCAAAAATCTCGAAAAAACGCTGAAAAATTGGTGTTGACAAGTTACAACTTCAACTTTATTTCTAAAACAACTTATTTAACAATGGATCCAAAGATTAACGTTCAAGTTGATCCTAATGAAGACACAGAATGGAATGATATTTTGAGAAAACACGGTGTCATACCCGAAAGACCACCATCACCAACCGCACAATTGGAAGAAGCATTACAAGAGGCAGTTGTTAAACAATATGAAAATAGATTAGATGGTAAAGATCTTGATGAATTAGAAGCCTTAGAAGATGAAGAAGATGAAGATTTCCTAGAAGAGTATAAACAGAAAAGATTAAAAGAACTAGCACAATTGAATCAAGTTTCAAAATTCGGATCGGTTTATCCAGTAGCAAAACCTGATTATAAGAGTGAAATCACTGATGCTTCAAAAGATACATTGGTTTGGACCCATTTAACATTACAAAGTAGTTTACAATCAAGACTACTATCATCGTTATTAATCACGCTAGCGTCGAAATTTAAAGAGATCAAATTTGTGGAAATACCGGGATCAAGAGCTATTGAAAATTATCCAGATGCTAATTGTCCAACAATTTTGATATATTTTAATGGTGATGTTATCAAACAATACATTACACTAACTCAATTGGGTGGTAACTCTACAAACATCAAAGACTTGGAGAATATATTGGTGGAAATTGGTGCTGTTAAAGATAGTGATAAAAGATTAGCCATTAATCAAGATGATGAAGACTTGGAAGAAGCTCATAGACTAAGGTTTGCTAAGAAATCTATTAGGGGTAAATTGGATGATGATGATGACGATGATGATTTCTTTGATTGAATGTTCTTGTATATTTTGAAATTGAACGGATATCTGTCAATGGTGGAGGTGTAGAGTATTGATTGGTTTTTGGTTTCAAGAGTGGTAATGGTGCAAAACAAGAATTTTGGTGGTTAGTTCCATGGTTATTGAGGTTTTGATGGTTCTGATATTGGCCTTAACTGGTTATAATGTTTCGCGAAATTTGGTGCCTATCCTTTGGAACTCACAATTTTGATTACAACAAATCAAAACACAACCCCTTTGAAATGAACAAACGGTGGTGGATCAAACAGCTTGTTGCTAGAAGATATCGGGTATTCAATTTCGCTTAACACCATATTATTAGGTGTGCTGTCTATATTATTTGATAATTATTTGGATGGAGCGCTGGTTGTCTGTGGATCATATGTTACACAAAAATGAAGCACTTGACTTTTCAATAGAAAAGTAGAAAAGTTTGAACTTTTGATAGCCTATTGTCTTCTGGTGAAGGTATCGACATCACATTTCTCCAATATGAAGCTATCATTATTATTATCAACATTCACTGTCAGTTGTACTGCCATTTCATCAGTCTCAAGAATATGTGATCCAGGAAGAATTGCAAGACCAAATTTCACAGGTTTTAGATTTGATTTCCAAACTTCATTCAATTCAGATGTGTCATACATTGCTAGAAGTTATCATTTGGTTTTATGTAAAGAAGGACATCCAATCTCTGATATACGTTATGAATTAGATCCAGCTGATGCTAAAATACCATGGGACAAGACATTATGTACCGCAGACCGTGGAAATTGTTACAAATTGGCTAGATCTAAAAAAACAATGTTGAAAGCTAGACCATTTATGTCAACTTTTCCTGGTGAAACTGTTGGTGGATTGTTTGAATTATCAGATTCTCAAGCAGAAGTTGCTAAAGATGAAAGTTACCTTCCTGTTTCGCGTTTACTTCAAGATTCTTTGACTAGTATGTGGTTTGAAATCCATCTGAATCGTGATCTCTTCACTGCACATTTCCCCTTATTTCATACATTCGATCCTAATAGTTTTGAACTTGACTCTGATTTTTTCTTGAGAGGTGCTGACCAATGGGAATCTTTTATTTCTGCTAATGAAGATTACAAGTTTGAACCACAAGATAGAACATTAATGGAGAAGGCAAATGAACAAGTCAATTCAAAGATTTCTCAAGTCATTAATGATTCAAATAAGAAATTATCATCTATCGTTTCAAGATTTCAAAAGAAACTTTCAACTATTGCAAACTCTGTTCTCAATGTTCAAGAAGTTGTCAAGAAGAGAAAGGCTACATTGTTTCCAAAAATTTTCAAATCAAAAATTGAAACTTTATCCAAACTCAAAGGGAAACTCAATCCTAATGAAATTGATCTTGATACAATGATTGTTTTATCCAAGGTTTTACCAAAAGAAAAGTTTGAAGAGTTGTTAAAATCAATCGATCAAGTTTATGCTAATGTTCCTTTGAAAAAAGAAATCTTCAAGTACCCAGCTCAAAAGAAAGATTGAAATATGGCTCCTCAACATTCAATACTACATTTATGACATGTATTATACTGTAGTTTGTACTTATTATTCTCTAGAGTCTTGGCTTTGGATCGATAAACCAGTCTATATTCTTTACATCAACATGTTCTCTTTTGGCTCTTGAAACAAACTGTTCTGGCCAAACAGGATTGTTTTTCCAACTCCATCTCTTACTAGTAATTTCGTCTAATTTACCTTGCATCTTTAAAGTTATATATTTCCCAATATTTGGTAGGAACTTGTAGCCATGTCCAGCATCACCACAAGCAACAACGATATTTTCAGAATCTGGAAGTTTATCAATCAAAAAATCATTAGTTGGAGAATCACTAATCCAGAACAACTTTGAATTGTATAATTCATGTTGACTCAACTCTGGAATTGTCTTTTGTAATAGTCTTCTGACGTGGGATTCACCTTTTTTAGGGAATGTGTCTTGTTGATTTTGCTCTTTGAAGCGAGGTAATGACAATAATTTATCACTATTAAAAGGATCAGGGATCTTATTTTCAGCATCACTATACGTTAAAGCTATTTTCATATGATGATGTTTAGCATCTGGTGGGAAGAAATAACCATATTCTGCACTAAAAAAGATAGGAATATCTTTGAACTTGGTATATTCATCTGGGGTCAGTTGAATGTGGGTAACAAATAGGCCTAATGCCCTTATCTGATCCTTCAAATCAACCAAGAATCCAGTAGCTGCACCGGCTGCAATCAAGATTTTATCAGCTGTGTAAACATCACCAGATTCTACTTGAATGGAATTGTTGTTTATGATTTTTTTGGCATTACCTTTAGTACCAAATATGAATTCAACACCTAGTTTTCTAGCCTCTTGATACACATTCAATAAGGAGTTTGAAGCATGGCCATAACCGGCATTAGGATTGAACTTTGCACTGATTTCACCAAAATCATTACCTTTAAACTGTGGGAATAATCCAGTTAGCTTAGCACCATTATCAATCTCGAAAATACCTGAAACATCGACACCCAGTTTAGCCAAATTTGCAAAACCTTGATTTTCAAACTTGGTACGATGTTGATTCTCTTTAGAACTTGGGGATAACGTGATTCTACCACTTTTGAAATAGACATCTTTGTACAAAGGATCATTCTCCCATAGTTTTAAAGCCTCCACTGAAAGCTTTGTATAGAAAATATCAGCATATTCAGTTCTAATGATCTTGTTTAAATCGTTCGATGCTGCCCATTTTGATGGGATTGGATAAAGATCTATAGCTTTCACCTTGTAACCCTTTCTGGCCAATTCTAGGGCAGTGGAGAGTCCAAATACACCACATCCAACAATCAACACCGTTTCAACCATTTTGTATGTGGATTCTTCAGCAATTCTTGAGAAAAGAAGAAAAAATGGGATGGTTTCTTTCTTATCACCGTATCGCATCAAGTATCAAATATGTTTCGCGAATCTACAAACAAATTATAAATTATCCATTATTATTCCCTGTAACCTATTAAATCCCTTTCCTCTAACTCAATGACGCAGTTGTTTCAAAGATTTGAATGTGCTTGAAACCTTTGTTCTTATAGTAGTCCAATCCTCTGTTATACGCATCTTCACTTCTGTCCAATAGTTCTTCAATCTCAACTTCAGTTAACTTGGAATCTTCAATAACATGCCCATTAGTCTTGAATCTATTGTCCTCAAATAAAGCAGCTAGTTCTTTAGCCAATTGGTTTTCTTCCTTAATGGCATCCTTTTTATTACCTGATCCAAATGTTAACTGGGTATCTTTATTCATTAATCTCTTCAATGATTCAAATTTACCCAATTGAATAACCAACTTCTCCAATTTCCTTTTCGAATCAGCTTTTGCCAAAATAACTTGTTCAATAGTGTTTGCTATAACAAATCTATAAACAACAACTGGTTTGGTTTGGCCTATTCTATGAACACGATCCATTGCTTGTAAATCAACCTGAGGATTCCAATCACTATCAAATATGATGACACTATCAGCTTTTGTTAAATTCAAGCCTAACCCACCAGCTCTAGTACTCAGCAAAAAGATTTTAACTTCATCATCCTCATTGAAACTTGAAATCTCCACTTCTCTATCTTGTTGACTAACAGACCCATCTAATCTACTAACTTTAAACCCTTTCAATTCACACCAATCTTCAATCAAATCCAACATTTTAGTAAATTGAGAAAAAATTAAAATTTTATGATCCTTAGCAAGTAACCTTGGTACTAATTGATCTAACAATTGAAGTTTACTTGAATTTTCCAATAGTTTTGCCAAATCCATATCATGTTCACTTTCCCATGGGAAATAAAACAAGTAAGGGGAGTTACAAACTAATCTTAATTGCATCATCAAATTTTGAATTTTTTTAGCATCAACATATTTGGATATTAATGTCCAAATATCATTTAGTTGTGATTCTTGTTTTGATATTTTGTTTTGTTGTAATTTGAGTGCTAATCTTTCTTGTTTTTCTGAACGTAATGTACGATCATTTGATTCTTGATCTTCTTCATCATCTTCTTCAAAATCAACATAACTTGAGTCAAGTTTCTTAAATATGAATTGATCAATATCTTGTTTGCTTATTGAAAGATTATTCACAGCAATGTGTTCATTCAATGCAAATTTCATTATTGATTTCTTTAATGATTTGAATAAAGCATCTTTATAAATCTCTGATTGTTTTGAAGTTAAAGTTCCATAAACAATGTATTCTCTTTTGGATGGTAAGTTTTTGATGACATCTTTTTTCAATCTTCTTAATAAAAATGGTTTTAAAATCGTATGCAAATTGTTGACTAAACTTTCTTGGATCTTGGAGTCAATAAGCTTCCTGGTTTGATCATCTTTAACACTTTCGGACAACGAATTCAATGAGCTAAAATCAAACCATTTTTGGAAAAGTTCCAAATCATGGAAAATATCAGGAAGGATAAAATTCAACAATGACCATAATTCATTCAAATTATTTTGTAAAGGAGTACCAGTGATTAATAACCTATTACTAGTTTTCAATTTTTTCAACTCTCTAATCAATTTACAATTGACATTCTTCAATCTATGACCTTCATCCACTATTAAGAACTTCCAACTAATTCTATTCAAATGTTCAAAATCTCTTAAAACAATTTCATAACTTGTAATAATGACAGCTTTTTGATTCTTAACGAAATATTGTTCACGGAGCTCTTTTCTTTCATCTTTTGAACCAACATATCCTAATACAGGTATACTTGGAGCAAATCTTTCAAATTCTTTAACCCAATTACCCACCGTGGATAAAGGCGCAGTGATTAGAAAAGAACCTTTTATACCTTGTTCATACAAAAAGGCCAATAATGCAATGGACTGAATCGTTTTACCAAGACCCATTTCATCTGCAAGTATACCATTTAATCCATTCTCATATAATGTGATTAACCATTCAGTACCTTCTAATTGATAATCTCTCATTTCAGCACCAGAAACTAATGATGGTTGTTTAATGGTGGAGCTTGTCTGAGACTGTTCAATCTTGGATTTTGTCAATTTTGCCTCTTCAGACATTTGATTATCCTTCTTGTAGAAATCCATGATATTTGCCTGTTTGCTAGATTTACCATTCTTCTTTGATTTCTTCTTTGGAGGTTCACCACCACCTGCTTTTTGTTCCTCTCTAGCTTTCTTCTTTGTCAAACTGCTCTCCAACAACGTATCACTGATGATGTTTGAAAACACTTGACTCTGTTTCACCAAATGTTGCAATCTTTCCAATTTGAAATCAGTTGATAATTGATCGAAATCTAATAGTTCTTGATCATTTCGAAACTCTTTTTTTTCACCATCCTCGATGATCTTGTTCACCACAGCATCTTCTGCATCGTCTATTGGGCTTTCAACTTTCATTTCCACAGTCATTTTGCCTCCCAAGGAACCCAAACTCTCTCTCATTGATTTCGATTACACGATACGCGTAAAATGATGAAAATATTCACTGACGCGCGTGTAATTCTCAGAACAGAAGATCACATACAAAACTCGCGAATGGCTGTGTAAATCTCAGCACTAACAAAATTCATCAGATTTCATCAAAAAATCAAAGGAAAAAAAACGACGTGAATGAAATCGAAAATAAACAAAAATAAACAAAAACAGAAAAAACAGTGTCAATTTCAGTTGAATTTAGAACTGAATCAATTGGTTGCTTGTTTTTAGCGTGTTTGTGTTATTGGTGCCGCAGCTGAAGAGAAACGGAAATGTCCACTCCTGAAGTCAAAGACGAGGTGACACCTCAACAACAACAAGATCAAGTTCAAGATCAAAATCAAATTCATCAAGAATCATCTGAACAACAACCAACTGAAGAGCCTAGAGATGTGGAAATGAACGATGCCGAAGAAACCACTGCCACGCCTCAACTTCCAGCTGAAACCATAATAGACTATGCTGAAGAATCAAGAAAGATTGAAGAAAAAGCTAAAGCTTATCTTGCACGTCAAACAAAACCAGTTATTGTTCCATCATTTGCTGGATGGTTTGACTTTGAAAAGATCCATGAAATTGAAAAAAAATCATTACCAGAATTCTTCAATAGTAATTCAAGATTTAAAACTGAAAAATCTTATCAAGATATTAGAAATTTTATGATTCATACTTATAGATTAAATCCAACTGAATATTTAACTGTCACTGCAGCAAGAAGAAATATAGCTTCTGACGTTGCCTCGATCATTCGTATCCATGCATTCTTGGAACAATGGGGGTTAATCAATTATCAAATTGATCCAAAAACTAAACCATCTTTAATTGGGCCACAATATACTGGGCATTTCCAAATAGTGTTGGATACCCCAGATGGATTAAAACCATTCATACCTGAAGATGCTAAAATCATAAATGTTGAACAAGATAAACAAATAAATGGTGGTGGTGATGAAGATGAAAGTAATAATGTTCCAAATGGTGGTGGTGATATTGAAAAAACAATCAAAACTGAAAAATCACTAGATATCCCATTGAATTTAGAATTAAGACGTAATATTTATGATTCCACTTCAGACGCAGTTGCTCTTAATGAACAAGATAGACTATCTCAAAGTTTAAATACAAAACAATTCACATGTTATGTCACAGGGAATGATACTACGGATGTTAGATATCATAATTTAAGAACCAAAAATTCAATTTCCGCAAGAGCTTTTAAAGAAGGTCATTTTGGTTCAAATTTCCATTCTTCAGATTTTGTTAGATTAGAAAAATTACAAAAACAAGGTGATGCAGCACCTTGGAATGATCAAGAAACTTTATTATTATTGGAAGGTGTTGAATTATTTGAAGATGATTGGGAAAAAATTGCAAACCATATAGGATCAAGAACAAAAGAACAAAGTATTGCTAAGTTTATACAGTTACCAATTGAGGATAAATACCTAATAAAGCAATTGAATGATAAAAAATCAGTTTCAAAAGATTCTCCAAAAGCTAGTTCAAATACAAATGATGCAGTTTTGAAAACTATAAAATTTTTGATTAAAAACATTGATCCAGAATTAGCATCTAAAGATTTATTACAAAATGATGAAGATATTCAAAAAGCTGTTAAATTAACAGTAGGTTCAATAATTGGACAATCACAATTGGAACAATCATCATTACAAAAAGATTCAAGTCAATTATTAGAAAATCTAGTTGATTTAGAATTATCAAAAGTTGAATTGAAATTAAACAAATTATCAATCTTGGAAAAACAATTGAATGCAGAGAAGGCAGAATTAGCAAACCAACGTAAAGATATACTATTGGACAGATTGTCGTTAAAGAAACAATCAGTATCAGTTCGTAACAAATTGTTGACAGCTGCTAAATCATCAACTCCTGAAGAAGGTGCTAAACTAGCACAAGAAGCTCTAGATATTGCAGTGAAGGCTCCAAGAACTGTATTGATAGCGTCAGCTCCATCAAAACAGGAAGCTACTGTTGTTAGTTCTAATGAACAAGAAAAAAATGCAGTGGAACAAAATGAAAATGATCAAGTTGTTCCAGTTTCATTAGAAACTCCACAAAATTATCAATTCTGGAAATTATGAGAATTAAAAAGCAAAAAGAATAGGAATATAAAAAAAAGAATGAATATTTTGTATAATCAATATTATTTTAATAGATTATGAAGAAAATACTTCTTCATTATTTGCTCGTTATGAAATTTCATTCGTATTTGCATTTTCGAGGTGTTTTGATTTTTGATCAGGGGCATGAAAAAAATGTCCGAGACGTGAAAAAAACAAACGTTTTCTTTAATACTCAACGAAATTTACACCAATTTAAGCACTTTAAAGGGCAAAAAATGAAGTCAATTGGGATTTTCACGTTATCGTTATTTGCGTTGACCACAATAGCTCACGTTGCTGTGGAGAAACAATCTTCTGGAAACGCTGCAAACTTGCCATTGTTTTACGATAATGGAGATATTAACTTAGATTCATTAAACCATAAACTACAAGATTGTTCAGTTGTTGATCAGTTGAACCATTTGAAAACTGAAGAATTCGCTAAAGAGTCAGAGTCACTAATCTCATACGTTTTTTCCAAACTATTCCCTTTTGAAAACCCTGGATTGAATGCAATCTTGGCTACAACTTACATATCAGGCCCTCCAAATTTGATCCTAAGTTTCATTCCAGCTTCTATAAACCCATCAAAACTATCATTATTGGTGAGTTTTGCCATTGGTGGGCTTTTAGGTGATGTGTTTTTACATTTATTACCACAAACTTTTGTTGGTGAAACTATAGATCATGGGAAAGTTTCATTTGTTTTGGTTGATGAAAAGAGAAATACCATTTTAGGGTTATTTATATTCATTGGGTTTATTGCATTTTTCGTTATTGATAAGAGCTTAAGAATTTTACAACATGAACAAGGTGTTGAAAGCCATGGTCATGGTCATAGCCATACACATTCTTCAACTTCAACAGGTGTGGAAAGTAAGGAAACTGATGCTGAATTAAGAAAAAGAAAGAAAAATGATGAGCCAAGTGGTGATGAGCCAGTTATTGCTAATCCAAACTCAAGTGTTAAAGCTAGTGCTTACTTGAATTTGATTTCAGATTTCACTCATAATATCACTGATGGTTTGGCAATTTCTGCATCTTTCTATATAAGTAAATCAGTTGGGTCCACTACATGCCTTGCTGTTTTCTTTCATGAAATCCCACATGAAGTTGGTGATTTTGCTTTATTGATCCAAGGTGGGTTTACTAAATGGCAAGCTATGAATTCACAGTTCTTAACTGCAATTGGTGCTTATCTAGGTACCTTTTTAGGTATTTTCATTCAAAACTTAGGTCAACAATCTACAACTACTGGAGATGTTGTTAGTAACGTCTCACCTGGTTTATTTGGTACTAGTGTGCAAACTGGTGATTTGACATTACCATTCACTGCTGGAGGTTTCTTATATATTGCCACTGTTGGTGTCATTCCTGAAGTTTTAGAATTACAAAGTGAAAATTCCAGAAAGAAAGAATTGATTAATGGTGTGCTACAATTGGCTTTCGTCTTTATTGGGATTTCATTAATGTTTTTAATTTCATGGTTTGAATAAGGGAATAAAGCAATATACAAACTTTAGAATATCATATTCATGCAAATATAAAAAAATGTAATGTATCAATGAGGAATTTCCATTTCTGGAGCACTTTCAGCTTCTTGCTCTAATTTCTTTCTCTCTATATTTTTTTGTTGAGTAAGGATGTAAAAGATCAGACTTGATCCAAAAATAAGAGTACAAGCAATTAATCCTAAATTAACAGGAATTGGATTATTGCCTTCATAATGATGGGTAATGTAATCTAAAAATGTTTGGAAATAGTTGATCAACCCACTAATACACATCATTAGCCCATAAACAGTACCAAAAGTGGTGAACCCAAACACTTTTGCACTATAATCACTAACTGCAGTATAGTAAAAAGGTCTATAGACAACTAGTAAAAAGATTCCCAATAAGTTTGCAGAGAAAATTTTCAAAACACCCATAATTCCAATCACAAACGAGACACACATCAAAATGATTAAAACTGTTATAGTTTTAAAATTATCCAAAATTAATCCAATGAAAGGGATAGCAATAACACCACCTAATGGTAATGCAATATCGAAAATATTATTAACACGTAATGCTAATTCTTCACCAAGTAGATATTCCTCTTGGGATCTAACAGTGGCAACAAAATAATTGATTCTAATCATTTGAATAGTTGTAAAAGCACACATTAAGAGGAAGAAAGGACTCTTCAATTGAGTTTTCACAGATTCACCATCTAAAACACCAAAGATATTACCAGATTTTGAATACAATTCATTCTCCACAATTTCTTCATAAACTGATTTACGACGTTTCCCATTAGCTGTTAAACTTGTTGTTCTGCGTAATGAATTATCAACTCCGTCTTCTAAAACTTGTTCATTTGCTGATAATAATGAAGTTCTTTCATCTATATCTGGAACTATTCTTGCTCCATCATCACCTTCTAATAATTGACCATTTTCATCCAATCCTTCAATACCCAATTTTTGCACAGTTCCCAAAGTTTTATAACTTGATTGAGGCATTATAAATAATTGACATAAAAATATAAACAATGGGATTATTAAATAAGTTATGAAAAAACTGTGTAATGAGATTTTGGTCAATTTTTGATAAACCAATCTATAGATTAAGAAAACAGCAGAAGATGTATCAAAAGCACCGGTTAATAAAGCTAAGATCATCCCACTAAATTTAGGGAAACTATTAGCCAATTGGAAACTTGAGATGAAAACAAATGGACCACCAATTGCAAGTGAAACATAACCAGAAAGATATTGATCAATAGGCAAGAATCTCAAAGTACCTGAAAGGAAGAATGCACCAATACTCAAAAACACTGAACCAATAAATCCACAAACTCTTGGTCCATAATTATCTAAAATATGTCCAACTAATAAAGCAGTAACGTTTGTCACAACAGCACCAATTGTAAACATCTTATTCAATTTCAAATCTTGATCAGCACATAATTTCAAGTTAATCCCTTCAGTTGAAACTTTACAAACATCATGATAGACACCTTGATCAATCAATATTGGTTTTAAAGCTGCAAATCCAAAGATTGGACCAGCTGCAAATAAACACCAAATGATTGCACATATGACTTGGATGATTCTTGTTTTGGATGAGGGTAGTGTCATTGTTAGGAGAATGGATTACAATAAAACCCTTTGCTGCTTTCTATTCAGCAATTGTACCTAGCTTTATACCAAAAGTTCCTTATCAATTATGTCCCTTTTCGATAACGAGCAGCCTAATCAATTTTTTTTTCTCGGGTTTATCCTTAAGTATGAGGATTAGGTCAGATATTATGTAATGATAGATGTTTATTCAATTTATGAGGAATATTTGTATATAATGATAGGTTGAAAATTTATTTAAAATAGAACAAAAATTCTAGGGATTCTAATGATATAGTTTTTATTGTGGATTTGGGAGTTTCAAAATTTTAAATTTTGAGAAGATAAATAATTGAATTTGAATTATGACATTTAAGGTTAAATATTTTTTGTAAAAACACAATTTCAAAATTGTTAGCTTTCGAAATACAAGATTTTAGTAGTAAATCAAATACTAAAATAATTTTAAACCTAATGGTGTAATTTTGAGGTATTTGTTACTAATAAATTTGCCCTTAAAATAATTGTTTTAAAAAGTCTCACGGATTTTCGCGGCCGTTATAACATTCACGGCGAAATCTAGTACAAAATTTTTTCCTCAATATGAAATCTCGCAAATGAACGAAATAACAAGAGAAAAGAGCATATCAAGAGTATATAGAAGAGAAGTCATCTCCTTATGGATTTAAAAGTGATTTCACTGAAGGGTTTGAGTTTTTGGCACTCGCAAATGTCGACTTGGAGAGGTCATTCTACGTTTAAATGTGATTGACAATATTCAAACTTCACACCAGCAAAAGATCAATCATTAATTTGACATAACCACGTAAAGTTCGAGAAGTCGATGTTAGGTGTCACATCAAATGGTCACTGTCCTTGATAATCATGAAAAGACGCCCTGTTTTTAACTTTTAGCGACTGAGTTTGTTGAATATCTTCACTGACAAGGTTCAAAGACGAAAGAGAATGCCAAAAAAGTAGAAGCGAAACGACTGGTTTAATCAACTATCAGTTCAACTAAACTTATGGATGATTAAACATGTAAAACGTCGACCAAAGCTACCTAACAATTGAACCACTCTGACACACATTTTCTTGTGGAAGAAATAGAACTGGGTGTTCTTAGGAGAATTCATTGAGGTCAACAATGTCAACAGTTTTGTGAGCTTCTTTGGTAACATTTTTTGAACTCATGAACATTTGAGTTTCTATTACTATCCAAGGACTCCTTTTGAAAAGTACTTCAAATCAACAGTAAACTTTATTAGCACAGAAAAACTTTTTGTTATAGCATCTTGACAAAAGTTTTCAAATGAATGAGTTTGAACAGTGATTATATCCTTTGTTGTATTCAATGCTTACCCATTCATCAACATCAAGTGTAAAAACTCTTGTGAAGTGAAAAAATCTGCAAGGAAAGGTGTCAAAAGAGTATGGAAAGAACACTTCAAGAGTGGGATTGAGCTCGAGAACTTGATTGAGTATATCTGTTGATAAGGGCTTGAGCAGGGTTTAGTTAGTGCTGAAATGTACCATATTTAAGACAAAATCTCATGGTAAACTACAGCACTGGAATTACCTCTGAAAATGCAACTTTTTCTTCATAGTTAAAGCCTTTTAAACTGTGAAGATTCCCTCTGAAAACAGGACCACGTGACTTTGAGATGAGCGCGAAAGTTGGTGAAGTTGAAAATTTTCACAGTCACTAAGCAGTCTCAGCACATCACCACATCCTTTTAGATTAGGGAAGAAGTAAACAAAGACAAAGTGACACATACAACGGTCAATACTATCCAAGGTCCTAAGTGGTAGCTCAACAACAACAGCCAAGAGAGGACTACACAGATACAAGATTCACAACTCACAATCCACAAGTGCTGCTATCGTCTCAGGTGCGCTTGCCACCATTCATACCAATCAATTGAGGCTTCTGGTCAAACATTACCCCAGATATAATGTCTCAAGAGGAATCTCATAATATAGACCAAGAGCAAGATGATCTTGCCTTGGTGGTTCAACAGGCAATGGAGGGGTTCCAGGAACAAGCTGGTCAATTCGATGGTGCTGATGAGAATCAAAATCAAAACAATGAGATAAATGTCAACAACGCGTCTCAAGGGCAACAACAACAACAACATGAAGAATTCAACCATGATGATGATGATTTCGAGAAAGAAATACAGAGACAATTGGAACAACAGTTTCAGCAACAAGATGCCCAAGGTGCTAATGATGTCGGTGATAATACCAATGCTCATGTTGATAATGGCTCTGGTGATCAAGACAACAATAACAATAACAATGATGATGAGGATGACTTTGCTAAAGAAGTTGAAAGGCAGTTACAACAACAGTTGGATCAACATCAACAAGAGTTTCAAGAACACCAACAGCAGCAACAACAAGATACGAATACCATCAATGATTTTGAGACCCATATTGAAGACCAAATACGGCAACAGTTGAATCTTAATGATGGCCAACCTCAAGATCAAGCCGCTCAACATGTTGTTGACGAAAGTGTTCAAAACGATTATGAGCAAGAACTACAGAAACAAATTATGGATGCGTTGAATGAACAACCAGCTAGTGAAGAAATAAGGCAAGTTGATCAAGATCAAAATGAACAAAAGGAACTTAATCATCATACTGTTACTGATTCCAATACTCAACAAGGTCAATCTTTTGAAAAACAAGAGGAACCCAAAGAGCAACATCCTCAATCGGATCAAAATCTATCACAACAAGAGTTTCAAAATGATTTTGAACAAGATCTTCAAAAACATATCATGGACGTTTTTGCTGCTCAACAGGAACAACACCAAGGACCTGAGACTCATCAGCCTGAACAAGATCAACAAAAACCTCTAGAACAACAACCTCAGAGTGATGCTGGGCCACAGGATGCAGACGATTTTGAATTGCAATTACAAAACTCAATTATGGAGGCTTTTAATGCTGCTACTGATGTTGAAAACACAAGTCAAGAACAACATCAACAAGTTGAACAGCCTATACAACCAGCAGAGCAAGAGAAATCTGAACCAATACCACAAGCTCAACCCCAATTTTCAAAAGTTGAACCACAACCTCAACAAACATCAACAGCAGCTCCTGTTCAATCACACCAACCTGAACAACCAGCTACTCAACATCAAGTTCCATCACAATCTGCTGTTCCACCAGCTGCTCAATCTCCAGCGCCAGCGCCAGCTCAAACACAACCTGTTGTTCAACCTCCAGCACAAGCACAAACTCAGGTAGCACCCCAATATCAACCACCACAACCACAACATCCTCAACCTGAATATGGTGATGTGTATGAAGAGGAATTACAGAATCAAATTCTTAGTGCATTTGCTGAATCTGAACAACAATATAATCAACAAATGCAACAATTGCAGCAACTTCAAGCTCAACAAGCTGCACATCAGCAACAATCACAACAACCATTGTCTCAATATACTGATGATATTGATCCATTTCGTGATGCATTGGAGCAATTGGTTCAAAATGTTATTGATGCTCAAGTTGAACCGGATAATAAGAGCTCTTCACAACAACAACAACAACAACAAAATGATGATGAGGAAATTGATATGAATCAAATCATGCAAAATGCTTTAGCTATGGCTGTGGAGAATCCTAATTTGTTGTTACAAAACTTGAACCAATTGAATAATAATAATGAATTGAATTTACAACAAGATTCTTCCGCTTTGATTAATCAATTGATTAGTTCTGGTGTTAATTTAGGGGAAGCTGTTCAAGCCACTACAGCTGCTGTTAAGAACAAGAAAAAAGCTCCAGCTAAACCAAAGGAAAAGAAACCTCCAAAAGAGAAGAAACCTAGAGCTCCAAGGAAGACTCCTGCAAAGAAGAAGAAGGATACAGCTGTTGTACCAAGTACTGGTGTTATTACTCCTCAATTCCAACCGCAACAACAATTACCATCGTTTCAACAACAGCAAGGTATTATTTTACCTCAACAACAACAACAACAACCTCAAGCTTTATTACCATCTGCTGCTCCTGGACAACAACCTTTACAACTTCCACCACAATTACCACAACAGCAACAAGTTCAACAACCTACTCAATCTCAACTACCACAATCACAGTTGATCCAACCTTCACCACCAACTGCAACAAAACCTATTGATCTTGGTCCAAAACAACCAAAACCTGCACCTGCTAATTCAATTATTGATTCTGTTAAAAATTCAGCGCCTCTGTTATTGTTGACAAAAGATAGATCAATTGATTTACAAAATCATAATGCTGAGCAAAAGAAGAAAGCTTCATTGTCAATTGCTGAAACTTTGGCTTTGAGTAGATCAGGTATGTCTAGTGGTAAATTTTCATCAAAATTACAAGAGCCAAAACCTGTTGAACAAGTTCATCCTAAAACTGCCACTGTGGGTACTTCTCAAGCTGAACAGAATTTGCAACAAACACCACCACCACCACCACCAATCGACAGAACTTCTCAAGATAAGAATGTTATAACTGCATCTGTGGAGAATGCATTGAAGCAATTGTTGACAGCACAACCACCATCAACACCAACAAGTTCAACAAAGGCTAGTGATAAGCAAGATGCTGATATGATTGATCCTGCGCTAGCTGAATTACAACAAAAAGTTGATCCAAAGGCACCATCACAGGAACAACAACAACCATCATCTTCATCATCTTCGCAAGCTCCTGTTGTTTCGAAACCTTCAACACCATTCACACCATTACCTGTTGCACCTGGTAGTCAAGGAAATGCATTGATTAACAACATTGGCTCATTATTACCAAATTTACCTTCAAATTTAACAAGTATGATTTCATCAGCTATTAATTCTGCAGTTAGTTCAGGTAAGATTAGTTTCAATGATCAAAATCCTTCAACACCTACTGAATTTCAAGATACTCCTAAATCTGGTAAAAAATCTAAATTATTGATCAATAGAAATGAAACTCCAGAACAACAAAAGGAAAGAATTAGATTAGAGAATCGTGAACGTAAGAAAAGATGGAGAGATGCTAATAAATTAAAGAATCAAAATAATGATCTTAGAGCTCGTTTGAAGAAAAGAGCTATTCAATTGTTTGGTGCTGAAGAGACTCCAAAAAAGAAGGAATGGATTGAAAGTGAATTTGAAAAAAGGAAAAACAGAAGAATTATTAAAGCTGCTAATTTAGAAGATTTGGCTACATTAATTAATGAGACTTTATCCAAAATTGATGTTGCATCTTTAAATCAAGAGACTTTAACTCAGATTATTTCTCAATTGGTTACTTCTGCATTTAATCCACCAGCTCAAAGTGCTCAACAACAACAACATCAACAAGAAGCTGGTAATAATAATTATATTACTACAACTCAAAGAAATTTATCACCTGGTGCTGTTGAAGAGTTGGCTGGATTACCAAGAGGTTCGGTATCTTCATTCAAAGTTGATAATCAATCAGTTCCAAGAAGTCAACCTGATGATGAATCTGGTAAAATTGGTGATCAAGGGAATCAAGAAAAAGTGGCATTACCTTCAAAAGAACCAGATTTGGAACTATCTTCATTGATTAATAACAAACAAAGGGAACAAGTTGAGACTACTAGTACACCAAGTCCAGTTATTGGTCAACAAGTTAATAAATTACCTTTGAAACCTTCAATGCCAATGAAAAGGAAAAGTGATGTTTTATCAAATTTTGAATTGAAGAAACCAAGATTTAACATCCCATTGATTCCAACAAATATGAAATTTGATGATGATGTTGATAAGGGTAAAGATGTTCAAGTTACTAAAGAAACTGTTGTTGTTAAAGATAAACCTGAACCAACAAAGAGCGTTGTTGAAACAGGTGTTGCTAAGCCAGTGGAGAAGTCAATTGAAAAGCCAATTGAAAAGCCAATTGAAAAACCAGTTGAGAAACCGGTCGAGAAACCAGTTGCAAGTGTTGTTTCAAAACCATCACCAATTGTTACACCTACACCTAAAGAACCTACAAAACCATCACCACCTAAACCAGTTGAAAAACCAGTTGCTGTTAGTAAACTTGCTCCACCAAAGCCTAGTGCCGGATTACCATTACATTTACAAAGACCAATCAAGATTCCATCATTCAGAAGACCTGAACCTTCCAGACCATCACCACCAGTTCCATCAGCTGCTGCTACAACATCAGTGAAGCCAGTTGATAAACCTTCACCAGCACCATCTACAACACCAGAAGCTGCCAAAGAGCCTACACCAAAACCAGTTGAAAAACCATCTTCAACACCACCACCACCTACATCCATCACCACCACTACTACTGAGAAGGAGAAAGAATCGACAGCTACAACTACAAATTCAGTCAAACTGGAGAAGCCATCAATACCATCATCAACTACAACACCAAAATTAACCAGACCAAAATTTGGCATGGGATTGAGAAAACCACCAGCATTTCAAGGATTAAGAAAACCTGGAGCATTTCAAAGACCACCTGATAGGGATAAAAGAAAAGGGTTAATTCAATAGAGAGGGAGATGAAATGAGAAAGAAGAAAAGAAGATGAACGAGATACCACTGTAAATTATATTTTTTTGTACAATAGATGGGATATTATAATGATTATAGAGAGTTAAGAGAGGAATGGGTATTATAATTAATTGTTTATTTAAATCAAATGGGTTAAATAATTTGTTACTTTTTTGTAGTTTTGATTATGAATCTGTCTTTTTGAGATATATTTCGTTTTGAACTTGAACTGTAATGTCGTTTATGTGGTGAATTGTTCGATGACCAGCCTTTTCGTTTCTTTTCGAGATTGCGATTGCAATTGATTTAATCGATACAGTTTAGTGTGAAGAAACCTTCTTCTGGGTCCCCGTAAAGTCAACTCAGGCTGAGAAACCCGAGAGATGTACACAATCCCACTTACATTCCGATAAACACATATAATGTATCACGTATTTCAATTCTGTACACCTTCTTAATTGCTTCTTTGTTGTAACTTGTGATCATGTGAAGATGCAAATCATCATAAAGTCCGACTTTTTTTTTATTGTGTAGCTGGTTTCCCCAGATTAAAATGAATTTCAACTTCTCCATTGTTTTCTTTAATCAATTGGCTCATGCTGAGTGTTTCAAATTGAACAAGTCCGAAGGAATGCTAAAGCTAGGCAGTTGACTTCGTTATATTTCCATTCAGTTATATCACTCTCACTTAAATCTAGTTGTGAACAATAAGCCCATCTCCTCATGCCACTACTACAAAAAACTAGTATAAAAGAATAGATGTAACCAAATTATAGCTTTTACTTATGTTAGTGATGCAGCCATAACCAAATTCCCAAAAATGCTTAGAACATTAACTCATTCAATCAAACATACTCAAAAATCCAGACTATTATTACGTTCATTGGCAAGTAGTGCTGCAAGTCCAACAGTTCCAGAGACTCAAAAAGCCATTATTTTTTATGAACCAGGTGGTCAATTACATTATAAAGATATTCCAGTTCCAAAACCTGGACCAAATGATATCTTGGTGAACATTAAATATACAGGTGTTTGTAATTCAGATTATCATGCATGGAAAGGTGATTGGGCTTTCAAACCAATTTTACCACTAGTTTTAGGTCATGAAGGTGCAGGAGTTGTTGTTGCCAAAGGTGAAAATGTTACAAATTTTGAAATTGGTGATCATGCTGGTGTTAAATGGGTTAATTCAACTTGTCAAAGTTGTTCATTCTGTGAAGAAGCTCATGAATCAAGTTGTCCAAATCAAAAAAATTCAGGTTATACGGTCCAGGGAACTTATCAACAATATGCAGTTGCAAATGCTGTTCAAGCTGCTCATTTACCAAAAGATGTTGATTTAGCAAAAGCTGCTCCTTTATTATGTGCTGGGTTAACTGTTTATAAAGCTTTAAAGAATGCAAATATTAGAGCTGGTGATTGGGTTACCATCATTGGTGCAGGTGGTGGTTTAGGTACTTTAGCTGTTCAATATGCTAGAGCAATGGGCTATAAAATTTTAGCTATTGATGGTACTAATAAAAAAGATCATGTGTTATCAAAAGGTGCCGATGAATTTATTGATTTTAATGCAGTTTCTGATATCCCAGAAGAAGTTTTGAAAGTTACTGAAGGTGGTCCCCATGCTGTTATCAATGTTTCAAATTCTGTTAAAGCTTATCATGATGCAGTTAAATATGTTAGACCAACTGGTACTGTTGTCTTGGTTGGTTTACCAAAAGGTGGTGCCACTTTGAGTACTGATATTGTTTCTCATGTGCTAAGAGCCATTAACGTGAAAGGTTCAGTTGTTGGTAATAGAGCTGATACTCGTGAAGCTATTGAATTTTTCAGAAGAGGTAAAGTTGAATCTCAAGTTAAGATTGTTGGATTATCTGAGGCTCCAGAAGTGTTTAAATTGATGGAGAAGGGTGAAATCCTCGGTCGTTATGTCTTGGATACCACTAAATAGGTCTTTTTATAGTGACTTTTTTATGAAATGAATGAAATTTGTTGAATATTGTATATACGTGGTCGGATTTCCCCACACCATAATACCACACCACGTGACCTATCAACACTCCTCGGATCTCCCTTCACGAAATTCAGTTGTGAATTTTTGGAATCCCTTAAAATCGATGATAGCAGCTTTCAATTGAGAAAGCAGTAGCAAGGCTAAAACAGCACTACAACAACAATTGATCATGTCCTTGCCTAAAGAATACATCAACGAATTGAACGAATTGAACAAGGAGATCCAGCGCAAGAATCCTCAGGACATCTTGCAATTCTGTTTCAACTATTTCCAATCCCGTTTGGAAGAACAACGGAAACAACTATGGAGTCAAGAGGCAAAAGCTAGAGCTGCTGGTATTTCTTTATTCCCATCTAGAAAATTGAACAGTATCCAAGATGAAGATGCTAAAGGTTCAAGTCCATTGTTTAAGAACTCATTTGTCAATGATGATCCACATTCAAAGGATTTAGTTGGTCATGATCATGATGCCTCAACATCATCAAGTGGTGATAATAACATTTTCAAATCTGGGTTCCATGTTGGCGAGGAAAACAAATCAAACATTGCAAACACAGTTGATCCAATTGCTGCTCCTGCTCAAGGTAGAAGAACTTCTCATGTTGTTGGTCATTCTCCATCATCAAATACATCAACACCACCACCATCAGCATCATCAAATCATCATCATAGTCAACAACTTCATAACATCCCTTCAACTTTCAATGCTAATAGACGTACATCTGTCAGTGCAGAAACATTAAATCCAAATCGTTTGAAAGATGATTGGAAACCACCAATCATTGCTAAAACTCCAGATCAATTATCAAGATTAAGTAATTCAGTTGTTAAAAATTTCTTATTTAGTTCATTAGATGAAGATAGTTTGAAAACTGTGATAGGTGCATTAGAAGAAATCAAAAAACCAGCAGGTAGTGAAGTTATTAAACAAGGTGATGAAGGTGATTTCTTCTACGTTGTGGAATCAGGTATAGTTAATTTTTATGTTAATGGAGATAAAGTTAACAGTTCAGGTCCTGGTTCAAGTTTTGGTGAATTGGCATTAATGTATAATTCTCCAAGAGCTGCCACTGCTACTGCTGAAACTGATTTAGTGTTGTGGGCTTTAGATCGTTTAACTTTTAGACGTATCTTGTTGGCTAAAACTTCCAAAAAGAGACAATTGTATGAAAGTTTCTTGAAGGAAGTTCCAGTGTTGAGTCGTTTATCATTATTTGAACGTTCTAAACTAGCTGATGCTTTGGAAACTGAATCTTATAAAGCTGGGGATGTTATCATTAAAGAAGGTGAAGTTGGTGAAAATTTCTATTTGATTGAAACTGGTGAAGCTAATATTGTTAAGAATGAAGGTGGTTTAATCGGTAGTGTTAAAAGAGGTGATTATTTTGGTGAAGTTGCCTTATTAAATGATTTACCAAGACAAGCTAGTGTTATTGCTAAAACTGATGTTAATGTTGCAACTTTAGATAAACGTGGGTTCCAAAGATTATTAGGTCCTGCTGTTGAAGTTTTAAAACGTCAAGATCCAACAAAGCATTGAAAAACAAACAACAACACAATTATCGAATTTTAATGAATATTAATGTCATCATCATAAAGAGCTTTCCCCTTTTTGTTCAGTTTCTTTTTTTGTTATTTGTTATATCTTTTTTTTTAAAGTCGTTTTTCCCCAGTGTTTTCTGTTTTATGAAAGTATCCTTTACAAGAGATTACCCATTTCATATATATCTTATATCAAATAAACAATTTTTTGGTTATATCTAAGCTAAACCCATGTAGTAATCTTTTTGTAAAGTCATCCAAACAATAGTTGAAGTAGCCACAATTAAAGGACCTAATAAACCTTTACCAAATTTAGCAGTTTTGAAAATCAACCATTCAGAATTAAAATGGAAAAATGCAATTAAGTATGAAGCTAAAGTAATTTGATAAACTTGAGGATTTGTTAAATAATAAGCACCATAAAATCTAATAACAGCAGAGACAAAAGTCCAAGTACCAAAAGTACGAGCTGATAAGTTTGTAGTTTCTAAAGGTTTGTTTTCATATACTCTTCTTGTTAATTCCAAGCCTGAGAAGTAAGTTTGAGCTGAATTAAAGACGGAGACAATTGAGATCTGAATCTGTTAGTTTAATAATACCCCAGAAGATGATGGATTTAATACTCACGAATAATAACCATTTTGGAAGGATTCCTGGAGTTTGAGGGATCCAAGGACCGACTAAATCAAGGAAACTGGACATTTCAAATTTTAAACCAAAACAACGTGAAATCAATTGAATTAAATCAAGTTTTCCTTAATGAAAAATCGTTTGATGATGGTTTTTTTTCGTATATGGAAAAACAGGTTTCGCGAAAATGTCAAGTGTTGATTTTTGGATTTTGAATTTTGAAGCTCCTGAAATTTTATACACAAATTTTAAAACGAATTAGAGAAATTGAATAGGAAAATGGTGAGTTTTTTTGAAGAAAATGACTTAATGGTAATCAATTGCTAACTATTGACAAGTCTGAAGAATCTTATGACGCTGCTTTGGATCTTTTGAGGAGATTGGATCCTAAAAACATTGCCAAAAACTTGCAAAGTATTATCAAATTGAATCCTGATTTAGCTGAAGATTTATTATCTTCTGTGGATATCCCTTTAAATGTTGCTCGTGATGAAGCCAATGGTAAAAAATACCTAACTTGTGATTATAATAGAGACTTGGACTCTTATAGATCTCCTTGGTCAAATAAATATTATCCAGTTTTAGAAGAAGGTGATGATGAAAGTCCGTTTCCTTCTGAAAAGTTGAGACAATTGGAGATTTATGCCAATGATTCCTTTGATGTCTATAGAGATCTATATTATGAAGGTGGTGTTTCAAGTGTTTATTTCTGGGATCAGCCAGATGAAGAAGATTCTCAAAATGATTCGAATTTCGCAGGTGTTGTGTTATTAAAGAAAAACACTGATGATGAACAAGGTCTTTGGGATTCAATTCATGTTTTGGAAGTGTTGGTGGGTCGTTCCAAAGCCACATACAAAGTTACATCTACAATCATACTTGATCTATCCAAAGTGGATAAAGATAAAAAGGATTCAATCAGTTTATCTGGTAATTTGATAAGACAAACTGAAAAAGAATTGGCCATAACAGACGAACACTCACATATTATAAATATCGGTACATTGGTTGAAGATATTGAGTCCAAATTGAGAAACTTGTTGCAAGAGGTGTATTTTGGAAAGACTCGTGACATTGTCGGAGATATTAGATCGTTACAAGGGCTCTCCTCTTCAGAAGACGACAAAAAGAAACAGCAGGAATTGGTTAAGGGAATCCAAGGGCTATGATCTATATTCTATAATGCTTTATATTTATGAATTGAATTTGAATTGAATTGAATTTCTGTAGAATTGCTTATAATCTGGAAAACATCCCAACACCAAATCGAACTCACCACAAAAAAAAAAAAACCAATCCATAAATCGGGCAACAACAAAACTGACAAATCTACAATTCAAAAGGTGGAAAACCAAGATACAATCAATTATAAAATTACATCTAATTAATATCAATAATGAGTGCTGATAAAGAAATATCGATATCGCGTGTCTATGCTGATGCAAACAATCAAAAAAGTCGACAATATTGGGATTATGAAAATGTTTCAATTGTATGGCAAACTCAAGAAAATTATGAAATTATAAAAAAATTAGGACGTGGTAAATATTCAGAAGTTTTCCAAGGTATTTCATTAAATGATCATGAAAAAGTTGTTATAAAAGTGTTGAAACCTGTTAAAAGGAAAAAAATTAAAAGAGAAGTTAAAATTTTACAAAATTTAGTTGATGGTCCATTTATTATAAAATTATTAGCTGTGGTGAGAGATCCATTATCTAAAACTCCTGCTTTAATTTCTGAATATGTTAACAATTTGGATTTTAGATCATTATACCCAAATTTAACTGATTATGACGTGAGATTTTATATGTATGATTTATTGCAAGCTTTAGATTATTGTCATTCAATGGGGATAATGCATAGAGATGTTAAACCTCATAATGTTATGATTGATCATGATTTGAAAAAATTAAGATTGATTGATTGGGGGTTGGCTGAATTTTATCATCCGGGTACTGAATATAATGTTCGTGTTGCTTCAAGATATTTTAAAGGTCCTGAATTATTAGTTGATTTTAGACTTTATGATTATTCTTTAGATTTATGGTCTTTTGGTGCAATGTTGGCTTCAATAATCTTCAAAAAAGAACCTTTCTTCCATGGGAAATCAAATACTGATCAATTGGTTCAAATTGCAAGAGTTTTAGGAACTGATGAATTACATGAATATTTGAAAAAATATAAGATTCAATTAGGTACTGAATATGAAGATTTAGGTCATTATGTTAGAAAACCTTGGTTTAGATTTGTTAATCAATCAAATGAACATTTAACAAGTGAAGAAGCTATTGATTTCATTGATCATTTACTGCGATATGATCATCAAGAAAGATTAACTGCAAAAGAAGCAATGGCTCATCGTTATTTTGATCCTGTACGTGCACTTAAACTAGCAAATAACCCCCCAATTAATACTTGAATGAACTCCAGAAATATTTTATACACACTTTTATATATTGATTATACAAATTTGTTAGCTATATTATGAATATTGATTATTATTTATACTTTTTTTTTTACTTCTTTTCTTTTTTACCATGATTTATGAATCCATTCGAGTTTCAAGTTTTTAAAACATTTTAATAGATCAATATCATTAATGATGATTAATGAAGCATCAATGAATATTTGTAGTTGTTTATATTTGTTTAATTTGTTTTCATTAATCTTTCCAACATCTGGTTTAAAGGTGTTCAATTTTTTAAATAATCCTTTGATAACACATTTTAATGATTCAACATCATATTTGAACTCTTTAATCAATAACTTTATAGTTCTAGCTTTGGTAGAAGCTGTAAAATTATATCTTTGATAGGTATAAAATTCCATAAATGCATGTTTTGAATATTTCTTGAGGAAACTAAAATTCAAATCCATTAAACTGATTAAAATCTTCAAATATAGACAAACTGAGATTAATAAAGCTTCATGGAATAGTACAACATCCAAACTTGATAATTTTCTCATTATTTTAACACAACATTGATTTTTAAAATTAATTATCTCTATTGGATCTTTATGATGATGTGTTTGATATTTAAAAATATTGACACAACAATCAATTAATTGATCAACTAATGAGATTTGGAAACAATTAATATTTTCAATGACTTGAAATGTTAAAATCTTGATAATTCCAAGATTCATCTTGTTTGAATCCATTTCCATGAAAACTTTTAAACAGCTTAATAAATCCATAGGATCATATTTGATTTTAACATATTCATAAAGTTCCAATGCTGTTGTATCAATGTTTAATGATGATAATAATGGGTAGAATCCTAAGTGTGATGTTAGTAGTTGATTGTGTGTTTATGGAATATGGTATTGAAGATACTTTTGATTGTAGGAATTCTAAATTGAAGTTTTTCATCTGAGTCTTTTAGTGGTGGATTTGAAACCTTACATTGCTTCTTTGAAGTTGGTTTTCGGGTACTTGAGCATGAGTTTGAAATCTTCCGTTTTTGGGGAATAACTTGGGATTCATTCTTATCAGAGGTTTCAGTTTGTGAAGCCCTTGATAACTCATCAAGGTTATTATTCTCATTATCTTTTTTTCTTAAGCTCATCTTCTGAGGTTCACTAGCAAGGTTTTCTTTCAAGGTTTCAGGAGAGTTCTTTACAGGAAGATTTTCTGAATTCCATTGACATTTCAAACCTCTTATAAGACAAGGACCACAAATAGGTTGTGTCTTATTGCATTTTCTGTGTCTCTTGTTGCAATTCAAACATGCTTTGATTATAGATGATTTATTCCCCAAGTGTGTAACAATTGAATGTGCTTCCTCCAGTGACCTCTCTGTTGATTCTTTCTCAGTGCTTATAGTAGTAGCATTAATTTGAGACAATTCTTCAATTTGATCATTTTCATGAACAAAATTCTCAATAAACTCTTTAAAAATGTTAGTCAAGAACTTGACTTTAAGTAATTAACCAGGTATTCATACCATGAACACTTAATGTAGAGTCTACTTGATTCTTCTTTTTAATTATTGCAATTGCCTAAATGGTTGTTAAATCAAAGCCCTCAAAATTTCACACCTGCCCAGAATCCAGGACTATTGAACTGCACAACATACACCATCATTGATTCAGCATCATATTTTTTTAAGTGTTAATGCCTTTGAATAAAAAACAATCAAACATGAACAGCCCAACTTTAACCACCACCAAAGACAATTAAGCCCTCACAGACCATTAAACCTTGTAAGTTGTAACTCTCTCTTGTTTTTCCTTGCTTAATTTTAGCCTCAATACTTTTCTTATTGTACTCATGTATGGGTACCTATTGACGTCGTTGTTGATTTTCTTATTGTGTCACCAGGGGTACATCATGTTGAAAAAGGCTTTTCTGAAACCTCATCACCAACTCAATTTGAAACTGAAGCAATATTATTGACAATCACACGCTAATTCAACACGAATCACACGTTAAGCCGTTGGAATTGGAATTGAAATGGCCTTTGGGCCTTGGAAAAGTGTACACATGACGTTTCCTGTGTAATCTAATCTCATCAAACGGCTGATTGGAAAAAACCGTTGTGAATCTAAAACACAATCAATCCAATTGAGGAAGTTTTGTTGATCTGAAAGGTCAAATATGTCAACAAAGCTGCGTGTTGGATAATTGACTATTGTTTTGATGAATTATCACCAATATCAATGGTTTTCGTGATGTGTAAACAAAAGTAAACAATTGGGTGGCAAACGAACCGCGCTGTGCAATTCCTGGACAAATCTGGTTGGAAAATACTCACAAGTGCTAATTCGATCTCATTTGAATTCATAGTCAACCGATTGATGATAATATTCACAAGAATCTGGTGTTTTCTGGTTTAGATTCAGTTCAAATGTTGTTGTTGATGTAATTCAGAAAAGGCTTTGAAGATTACGAAAAACAATATCAAAATTATAAATATATTGCAGTAAAACCCACACATGGGTACACCTAATTCAAATCAAAAAAACACATATATAAAGAGAAAATAATTATAATATAATAAATGTCACAATAATAATAATAACTAAGAAATCAATCACTCATCTTCGTAATCATCATCTTCATCCTCATTCACTTCAAAATCTCCATTACTAAAATCTTCAAAAGAGATTCCACCCAATAATTTACCCAACTCTTCAACATCATTAGCTCTATTTGTTTCATAAAGCATTTTAACTTCTTGATAAAAATCAATCAATCTCTTCTTGTCTTTTTTCAACTGATTAATTTGAAATTGATATTTTTCAACATCTTCTTTTAGTTGAATATGTGCAGCTTTTTTACGTTGTCTACATTTTGAAGCTGCAATTCTATTTCTCTCCAATAATCTAGCCTTTTTCCATGCTGCTGTACCTGGGATTGGACCTGCATCTGGATTGAATATAACTTCATTGTTATAAACCAATTTATGATTTGGAATACCAGATTGGCCTAAAGTGGTGTATGGTTGATTGGTTTGCTTCACCTGTTGCTGTTGTTGTTGAGGTGGTGGTGGAGGAGGTTGTTGTTGCTGTTGAGGAATTGGAGGTTGTTGAGGTGGTGGGACATTAACTAGATGCTGAGGTATCTGTTGAGGAGGAGGAACTTGTTGTTGCTGCTGTGGTTGAGGTGGAATTTGAATGTTTGGTGTAAGAGGATCTATTCCTAAAGATGGATTGTATAATTGTTGGTTTATATTAGAGTCATCTTGTGAAGATGGTTTGGGTAGAGGCGGTGGTTGACTATCATATAAATCATCCCCGTTCAAACTATGTGTTGTAATTTGACCAATTTGACCATTTGAAATAGATATTCTTCTTCTTGGTTGTCCTTGGTTATTAACCATCAAGGCACTTTCAAAAATTGGAGGATTTGTCAAAGGGAAATGGGAAACATCAATACCATATGGGGCAAAGAATGGAGAAAGTGTTTCTGTAAACAACCCATTATTAGTAAACATCTGAGCTGATTGATGATGTTGTTGAGGTTGTGGTCGTTGTTGGTTTTGTTGTTGTTGTTGATCTAGAGGAATGTTTAATAATGGGTTTTCATTGGTATTATTGTTGTTGGATGATGGCACCTTGTCCTGACCAGTCTTGATGTTGCTCTGTAGTTTCTGGAGATGGTTTTGCAACTGTTGCTGTTGCTGGTAATGCAAGCTATTGGCGTAATTCAGCTGTGAGTTCAAGTCTGTCATCATGGACCCATATATGATTCTTTGATGTCTAGCAAATAATAATAATAGAAATAATAATTGGTAGTATCTGGTGTAATTTGTAATTGAATTTTGACATCAACTTCACAAAATTTGAATTCGCGGGATTCTTTTTTTTTTTTGCCATGGAGACGGCCGAATTAAAATTTACGGAAAAATTGATTATGTAAGAGATTACCCAGACGAGTACCACGTGACTCAAGAGGGCGTACATTTCCGGAGAAAAATCACAAAACAGTTAAATAAAGTCATTATAGGTATAATTGAATTGAATTGACTTTTGATAATTAAAGCTAGTCCACTGGAAGCCTATAATCCTTTTAATCATCATTCTTTGCTCAACTCATATGGTGCCCCCATTTTACTGCTAATAGTCCAATTCATTTAAACCATCTCCCCATATCATGCTCATAATATGACGATATCTTTAATTTCCAATGATCAAGATCAAATATACCAAGATCCTGAAATATCTTTTGAAGATAAAAACAATAAACCTTCAATAATAACAAATTACATCATACCCAAATATAAACTAGATCAAATAGTTTCAAACTGTATTGAAAATTTATCAAAACAGAAAACAATCTCATCAACAACAACATCCACAACATCCACATCATCACTGGAATATTCATATGACTTATTGATTGAAAATGAACGAGGGTTTATCATATTTGGTCTACCGTTCTATACAAAATATATGTTCCCATTTGATCCACCAAATTTCACAAATATAAATGGTTCGAAAATCTCAAACTTGAAATTGTTCCCATTACCTGATTTAAATTGGAAATGGAGTTGGGATAAATGGTACGTTATAATGAATGATGATAATGATGATCAAGGTTGGTGTTATAGTTGGAGATTTGGCTCAAAACATTGGAGAGGTGAACAAAGGCTTGGTTGTTTTGTAAGAAGAAGAATTTGGTTAAGATTAAGAGAGAGGAAAATTTTAGCATAGGATAGATAATTTGCATTTAATTGAAACGTTTTTTTTTCTCATGTTTATTTTGTAATCTACAACGTCCAATTGTAAAGTCCAATAATAATTAATAATTGAATAATAAGTGTTAAATAAAAAACCATAATCAACAAACAAGACAAACACAATCAGATAAAAAAAGCACACACAGCAGAATACCATCAAACAGGTGGAGATAAATCTCTATAATTTAATTTGAAGTTAATCAAATCACCCATAGACCAAAATTGAGCATCAAATTTAAGAAAATTTGAAATTTCAAATCCATCACCTTCTTGAATTGGCATTGAAGTTTTCCTTTGAAACCAAAGTTTTTTACTTAAATCACATCTCCAATTTCTTCTTTGTAATTCCCTTTCAGTTATATAATGTTCAATTGGTGTAGTGCTATAGTAAAATCCAAAAAATAATGTTAAAATATCTAATCCACTTAAAACTGCATCAAAATTATTAGTCATTGATAATTTGTGTCTTGCATCTTCATACAATTGAGCAACTCTTTGGTATTCACCAGTAGTTAGTTGGGATGGTTCAACTTGACTAACCATATAATCTCTTGGAAGTCTTAGCAAATCACGAACATTAGCTGTACTTTTTGGAAATTCACCGTTATTTGATGAAGTTCGACTAGAAATTGATGAAGCAATCATTGCATTAATACCTGGAGGATTCTTCAACAAATTAACATCTTGTTGATATTCAACTTGATTCACAGGTGAAATTGGTAAATTGGAACTTGATGAACGTGCAGTATCACCAATTGAAACATTCCCATTTAAACTATTACTAACACCTTCACTTGGACTAACTGATGTAGCTGGTCTCTCCAGACCTATCGAACTTGGAACACCTGCAGTAGTAGATGTAGTAGTAGTTGTGGTTGTAGTGGTAGTTGCCGGTGGTATACTTTTAGATGGTGTTATTGGTACTTCAGTTGCATTTGATGATGTAGCCGTCGTTATCTGTGCTGGTGCTGTACTTGGAGGAGCTGGTGATGATGGGACTGCTTCACTGTCACCATTGCCATTACCATTATTATTCAAAAATCCACCAGATGCCAGAATTGACCATTTCATAGCAGAAGGAGGTTGACTTGGTGGAGCTGCAGGTTTCAACGTACTCGACAGGGATGTTGGAGTACTAGTGTTTGAGTTTGTAGACAGCGAAACAAACTTCTTCTTTGGAGTTTCAGATCTTCTTATTGGATTTATACCTGGTGGTCCTTGAGCTGGAGCTGAAGCTGGAGGAGCTGGAGGCAGCCCACTAAGAGCTGGTGCACTTGAAGGTGCGGGACTGACTTTTTCTGGTGTATTTGCTGTCACTGATTTAGCAGGTTTTGGTGAAATTGACTTTTCCTTTTTCTCTTCAACTTTTTCTTCTTGTACTGATAATCCATTAAATGATGAAACAACTTCATTAGACAACAATTCATTAGATTCAAGATCAAGAGATTCATAAATATATTCATTATCAATGAAATTTGGATCACGATTGCTCTGCAAGAAGTATATTAGATCTTCTTTAATTTCCAATATATCAGCAACTTGCAATTCATCATTCTCCAACAATCTTAGAGCCAATTCCAATTGTTGTTGATGCCATCTATATCTGGTTTGTAGCTCTTTCAATTCTTCTTTCTTGGATTCATTTGCACTTGAATTCTTCTTACTCTTCTTACCACTTAGTTTTTCGATTTCAACTTCAACCACTTGATATTGTCTCTCTATATCATCAATAGATTCTTGTAAGAAATTTATCGTATCCAGTTTTTCTTGTTCTTCAGGATCCAAATCAGCACCTTGTTTCAAACTCATATTAGAATAAGCCTTCACTTTCGAACCCTTTTCCACAACTTTATATTTTTCCATTGCAGTCTCTACTAACCGTCTGTATTCCAGAAGTTTATCCTTATCTTTGACTTCATTTTGAGTTTGCCATACCTTGATTTGTTCTCTTAATTTCTGCAATTTCTTGATTTCTCTCTTCAAGTCCTATATCCAATGTTAGAGATTATGATTTAATGTCTGTTATTCTTTTATACTTACACTCTCTAGTTTATCTCTTTGAGAAGGATTTGTTGAGTTTTCATGTCTTTCATGATAGGTGTCAAATATCTCAAGACCTTCATTGATCTTTTTAAACACACGATCAATTTCCCTAGAATGATAATTAGTCTATATCCCATTGCAAACATGTTTCATCAAAAACACATACTGTTGAAGTTTCCTATGAGCCATTTTGTAATCACTTTAGTTTTTGAATAAAAAGTATTGAAGACCTTCACTGTATTATTATCATTTAATAAAAATGTGTGAATATGATATGAGATTGAAATGGAATAGAGGGAATTGACAAAATTGAGCTCTAATAAAACTTTTGTTATATAGAGAACTTTCTCCCAAAGAAATTGTTTTACAATATTTGAAATTTCCACGAAAAAAAAAAGTGTAACTAGTTGGAAAGACACAGAGCAGCACAATCTGAACAATGATCAATTCCTTATGAGAACAACTATTCAGTCAAAGTTCTTTGGATTCTTCAATTCTGGTTTCAAAATTCTTTGTGAATCCTTTTTTTTCTTTGGTTTCGTTGATTCTAAATTTTTTACAGAAACGA